ATTTGCCGAACAAGTTTGCCATCCCAAGGCAGTGAACCACTAAAGCAAGAAACTCACAGGAGTATTAAAAAAAACTAATTCGACAATTTGGTATATATATGGAATGAGTTACTGAGATCTCAGGAGAAAGAGCTGAATTACACTCCTGTAGTGATCTCAATTATCACTGGCTGTCTTGGGGTTTTATTGCTGCCTTAAAACACCATGACCAAAAGCAACTTGGGGAGGAAAGGGTTTATTTCAGCTCATAGTTCCCCATCAGACTCCACCATTGAGGGAAAGACCAGGAGAAAGGAACTGAAACCAAGTCCATGAAGCAATGCAGCTTACTAGCTTGCTAGTTTTTTGTGACAGGGTTTCTCTGTGTAGTCCTGGCTGTCCTAGAACTCATTCTAACTCTGTAGACCAGGCTGACCTCGATATCAGAGATCTGCCTTTCTCTGTCTCCCAAGTGCTGCGATTCCAGGTGTGCACCACCACTGCCCAGCTCTGGTTTGCTCAGTCTGTTTATTATTTCTTTAGTTATTATTCTCTCATTCAATACATCCCAGCCACAGCCTCCCCCCTCTCCACTCCTTTCAGTTCCCCCTTTAAACACAAACACACCTCCCCTCTCCCACAACCCACTGCTCCTCTGTTTCCCTTCAGAAAAGAGCAGGCCTCGCAGCATTATCAACCAAACACAGCATAACAAGATGCAATAAGACTAGTCACAAACTGCCATATCAAGGCTAGGTGAGGCCACCCAGTAGGAGGAAAAGAGTGCCAAGAACACAGTCTGCTTTCTTAAATCATCCAGAACCACCCAGGGGCACCACTTCTAGAGAGTGAGGCCCTCTCACATCAACCATGAATCAAGAAAATGCATTCTAGGTCAATGTTGTGAAGGTATTTTTTGCCAGTGAGAGTCTCCCTACACAAATGACTCTAGAATGTGTCAAGTAGACATAAAATATTAAAAACACACTGAGTTTTGCCAATAGGCATTCTGTAGACTTTTCATAGTTAGTAGAAAGATGCTTTGGTAGCTCTGGAAAGAGGAACAACATAAAAATCTCTGTGAAATGAGCCTGTAGACTTCCCCCATGGCAATAGGTACCCAGGAGCTACTCCCTGAGGAAAGATCCATGTCAAAACCTAATTTAAAGTATAGAAATAGAATCCCTCCAACCTTATATTTTTCTCAAGTCTTGTCACCTTCCCTAAATAACAAGAGGCATTAAGAGTCAGGGTTTCAGGAAAATGTATTATGGTTGTTGGAGGCAAGGTAGAAAGTAGAGCCACTGGGATTTAAGTAGGCAATTGTATAAATGCACTCTAAGTCATGAGAAGATGCAGAAAAATTCTTCAATCTTTATTTGGAATTTGTCACTCATGAATGCCCCTGCCATCCATCCCCAGTGGTACTTTTCTGGTTTCCTGTCTTACACTTGTGCTCCAAGTTAAACACATAAAATGAAAGGTTTGAAGCCAAACACAACAGCTAGAAAGACTGTGCTGTGTTTGTCTTGACAGGCCAGAGTTTTATCACTAGATATAGTGATTTCCACATACACCCACTTGCCTACAAATTTCATAATTTCTGCTTTGTTACATGTAATTTCCAGTTTCCTTATCCATCTTCTTTATCCATTCATTACTGATGGGAATCTAGCTATCATGAATGGATAGGCGATTGCCTCTGTACTAGTACACAGAGAACATTGGCTATGTATTTGGAGAAGTAGTGCAGCCAGGCCACATAGAAGGCCCATTTCTAGGTTGTTGAGTTGCCTTTCCTTTTGTTAAGTAGTCCTCTGAGAATTTCGTGTGTGTCTTGCCCATATTCACCCCTCTCCCAACTCTTTCTAGATCCAGCCTATCCTCATCCACCCAAAACTTTGTGTCCTATCCTAGTTTTTCACCCATAAAGTCCAGTTTGTGCTACCCATACGCTCAAAGACACACGGCTTCACTGGAGACCAGGAAACCTTGTAGTGGCAACACTCTTTAAAAAACTGAGTCTACTTCTCAGTGTCTGAAGTAGTTTACAGTATCACCAGTGTACAAATGTTGCCCATTCCCTGCATTCATTGTCATTTGTATTCCTAACGAGGGCCAGTCCAAGTGTGATGCTATGAACTGTCAATACACTTCTTTTTATCAGGATTTCCTTAATGGCTAAGGATGTTGGATGCTTTTTTTTTAAGTGAACTGATTTTAACTAGATATCTGCATATCTTCCTTTAAGAATGTTCTCTTCAGTTCCATGGGTTATTTTTTTCTCTTGATGTTTAATCTTTTGAGTTGTTTGTAGGTGCTATATAATGATCCTAGTTCAGGTAAATAGTTGGCAGTCCCATTTAAAACAGAAGGACCTTTTTTTTTACAGACATAACAACAACATACAAAAGAACAAAGGTAGCCATGGTAGTTCTAAACAAAAAGTATACTGCAGATGGAATCACAATACCTGATTTGATATTCTGTACTGTTCAGAATAAAAACAGCATAGACTGGCACAAAAAGCAAACACATGAATAAATTGTATAGAAGAGGAACCAAGTAATAGTCCAACAGGAACAGCCACCTGATCTTTTTAAAGATGACAAAATGAGCACTGAATTGAAGTTGAGAAGCCTAGACTTTAATATGCAGGAAAAGTTAGATCCTTATCTTTTACCTGGCACAAAACTCAATTCCAAATGAATCAAGGACCTACCTCAATATCATACCACATACCCTAAAATAGACATCTTAAAAGATAAGGAATGAAATTCAACATATAAGCACTAGCAAAGGCTTTTTGTTTTATTCTTTTATGTATTATTTATTATCCTTGTTTGTTTGTTTGTTTGTTTGTTTGAGACAAGGATTCTTTGTGTAACAGCACTAGCTGTTCAGGAGACCAAGCTGACCTCTGTGGAACTTTACATGAAAGTTCTCTGAAATCTAATCCTGAGTAGGGGTGTGGAGGTTTGAAAGAAAATTGCCACCAAAAGTAATGGCACTGTTAGGAGGTATGGCCTTCTTGGAGCAGGTATGATCTTGTTGAATAAAATGTGGCACTGTGGAGGAGGGCTTTGAGGTCTCATCTATGCTTGAGCTACACCAAGTGAGACAGATCACTTCCTGTTACCTACACGCACACTTGGCTACTTCTCAACCACCATGTATGCCGGAGCTCCACCATGCTACATCTCGATGAAAATGGATTAAACCTCTGAAAACACAGGCCACCCTAAATAAATGTTTTCCTTTGCAATAGTTGTTGTGGTCATGATGTCTCTTCACAAAAATAGAAACCCCTACTAAGACAAGGGATATTCATGTCAGTTAAAGCTCAGGTGTCTCTGGGACCTATTTTAAAATTGTTTAATTCTCTGTGACTCACTTTTATATTATCCAAATTATGGTATAAATTAACACTCAGTGAAAGCTTACTGACATGCATATCTGAGTCTCCCTTTGCTAGAGACTTTTCTGGGTTGAATCTCTGAGTTCAGGAGAAAGGGCCTCCTCCTCAGATGCAACACCAGAGTTAGTTAGTGGTGCTCTATTAATGAACAGACTCTTCCTCTTTTCCCAAGCTGATTTTTCTACTTCTGTATCTCCCATCTGTCCTCACAAAGATAACTGCTACATATTTACTTAACAGTGCATAAAATATGGTATACAAACGAATGGGGATTGTCTTGTCTTCCATTTTTGCTTGTCTGTTTGATTTTGCCTTTTCATAATGCCTAATGTATTGAATTAAAAAAACATTGGCAAGGTATGTTGACTTCACTGGCAGCCATTTGCTGGGTATTCTGGCTCTCCCTAGGGATTTCAGCTGTAGCAAACATAAGTTCCTTTATTTCAAATTCTGTTACTAATACTAACGCTCATATCACACATCATACAGTAAACAGGAAAACACATGAGCGCACGTGCATACAGACACACACACACACACACACACACACACATAGTTGTATTGTGGTACTATATATATATCCATAGGTGTGTGTATAGGCAGACTATAGAGTGACTACAAATGATTAAAGAGGCAAAGCATTTCAAAAGGTTTCAAAAGTGAAGTGTTTCAACTAGAAGCACTTAATTGAAAACAGAAGTTATCAACTTAGAATCACATGTCACTTTCAGTCTTTCTATTGCACATTTGTTTTCAAGGTTGCTTTCAACCTCCTACTTCCGGTGAACATTTCCCACGATAAACTCACAGGCATGGAAAGGTCATGAAGAAGAGGGAGAAGACAATTTAAGGTTAAACAGTCTTGATGCATATAGTCGAATTGTGAGATCATAGCACAAAAGTTCAACTCCTGAGGCAGGTGTTATTTCCAGAAAATGTCATTCCCACTGATACTTTTTGAAAATCAGCACTTTACTTCAAGGCTGTCATATGAATTTGTCAAAAGTTACTTCTTATTCCAAGGAAGCAAAGAGCATTGTTCTTAAAAGATTTATTTTTATTTATGCTTATGCTATGTCAGTGTGCATGTATAACATATCTGTCCAAGTATCCAGGGTGGTGAGAAGATAGTATGAGATAGCCCTGGAGATGAAGGCTATAAACCACCTGACATGGGGCTGGAAACCAAACTTGGGTTCTCTCCAAGACTGCCAAGCTTCCCCAACCACAGGGCAATCATTCCATTCCCCAAAAGATATTCTTGAAAAAGAGTACATTTTAAGATGCTTATTAAGAAATATAATTAGAGCATGGATTGTTTAAGCTCTCAGTTTGCAGAATGTATAGTTACAATTTTGCATTTTAGGTGACATTAAGTAATTGACCATATCTGGTAAAACCTTGAAATCCCAAAATCTCAAAAGTGAAATGAGCAAGGAGAGCCCAGCCTTCTGTCCTCTATCCTACACACAGATTCACCCAATCTTCTAGGGCTATGAAAAACTTATAGCAAAATCTCCAATCCACTGTAGACATCAGAGAAAAACTATGATCATAATAAGATCCACAGGAATATGTAGCTGCATAAAAACTCAGCATTTACCATAATGTGCCAAATCAACGAGACCACGGCTTTCTCTGTAAAGGAAAGAGTAAAAGAGGTCAACAATGTTTAAAGAAAGTATTGAAAGAATACACCAAACTCTTTGGGAAGTGTACCATGTAATTTACAAAGGGGAAAGATTGAACTGTAGACATTAATTTCTCCTTCTATGAGCAAATAGACCCTGACTGCTTCCAACATCTGCACACTCCCAGCTGTGAGTACCCTGGACCTCTTCATCTGCACACTCCCAGCTGTGAGTATCCTGGACCTTTTCTATTGTCTCAGCTCTGCCTTAGTCATGGAGCTTGCCCAGACTCAAAACAGAAAAGAATTAAGGATTGTCAATAGACCTAGATTAGAGGATTGTTCAGTGGAGAAGCCAATGAGATCATGTGATGTAAAATAGTAGAAAAATATTTATACATGAGACATACCTATCTGATCACAGAGCACAAAGGGCAAGGATAGTAGATGGAGACATCCTAGAACATCCCGTGATATAGAATTATTCATGGAGTTCAGGAGGTAAGAGGATCTTCCCTGGGAGATCTTTCTACCATGATAGATTGCAGACTGTGGCAGAAATATGTTTGTTTGTACAATGTTCAACACAACTAAATTCTTAATTCCCAAATGCAAAAGTCACTTTCAGAAATCGCAATATTAAAAAGGGGTACTTTCCTTTCTCTTTCATAGCACATTGGATTGTAGGGTCAATTTTGCTGTGCATTATAAGCATGGAATATCAATAACACAGATCTAAGTCTTCATTACTTAGAAAGAACTTGTATTTAGTATTGTATTATTACCTGTATGCAATACAGAAAAAGCATTTGTTGATATAAGTTCGGCGATTGGTTCCACAGACAGGAAAATACTCTCTGGAACAAATTCCTAGACGATTATACATACTACAAACTATCTGAAAAACACACAAAGATAACATAAATGAGTTAGATGATGGGCAATTGAATAAAAATATTCTTCACTCTTAGTATGTAATGTCATACAAAATAGTTTAAATATAATCTACACATAGACGTAAAGGACATATAACATATAAACCATGTGAAAATGATTATCATATTTTTAGTTTGTAAGCCCCTACTAATAAGAAAACAACACAGCTGGTGTAACAAGATCTTGTAAAAGAGACAGACAACTCACACTATGACATCTGTGATTCTCCACAAGACAATATTCCCTTCATCCCCTCATAATCAAATTGAACTTTCTATCGGTTATTCTCATTCCTCTGTAAATCCTATGCAATTTGATGCACATATGTACTGTATATTTACATGTCAATACATCTCATTTATGTACATGTTCATAAACAATTTCAATTTTAGATACTTTGGTAATTTACACAATGAAAGCAATACTATATATCATATACAAGTGACTCACATTTTACGCATCTTGTGACACACATGTCACAGACATACACATATATATTGATATTTAGAGGGACAATTCACTTATTTTCAAATTTAATATTTATATTTCAAAGGCAGAATTGTACAAATAGTGTGTGGAAGTCATCATTTCTAATGGTAAGTTAACCATTGAACTGTCTACACTGGGTTGTATAGATATTTAATCACATATCTTATTGCCAATGGTAGGAATCTGGGATTAAGATACTGTCAAATCTTGTATCAATAATAAATTTCCTTGCATTTCTGGATTGCGGTTTGGACTTGTTGCATTAAAAGATATATTTTTTTTACTTTTGAAGAGTTTAGTAAATTTTACATGAAATCCCTCAGATTATAAAAAATAAATCTTTACTTTTAAATTTCCATATAAATAAAAGTAACTTACTGGTCTCCTGTAAATTAATGACTTTATTAAGGAACATTCTGGAAACAAAGCAAAGATGTCAGATAAAATGTATAAAAACAACCTTGTCCATATTGTTTTGATGAGAAGTACCCACATTGACATTGAAATGTTGCAGACATTATTGTAAATTGCCTATAGCTCTAAGCAGTAAGTGAGAATTTAGTGGCAGTAGCAAAAATATTAACTAAAAATACATGAAAATCTAGACAATTATAATTTCCAAATATACATAGTCTGTGAAAAACAGTACTATATACTATTCTCCCATATGAAAGTATCATCTTACATATGTTAATAGATCTGGACATATTAACTTCATATAACTTTTTATGTGAAATACACTGGTCTCAGAGTTCAAAATATCTTTCATGTATTCACTGATTGGCATTTTTTTTTTGAGACAAGTTTTCCCTGTATTGTTTTGGAGGCTGTCCTGGAACTTTCTCTGTGAACCAGGCTGGTCTCAAACTCACAGAGATCTGCCTGCATCTGCCTCCTGAGTGCTGGGATTAAAGGCATGCACCACCAACGCCCAGCCCCTGACTTGCCATTTAACAATAGGATTAAGTTACCAAGTTGTAGTACAAATGAGCAGAGACTGATACTCTACATAGGCTGTTCTTATCCACTGCTCTCTTCAAACTTCTCCAATGGGGACTAGTTAGAAAAACCAATCCACTGCTCTAATTTTAGAGACTTTTGTAACATGACCAGTTTAAGGACTACAAACCAAATAAGACAAGCTCATTAATTCATATATCATATTTAGAGTTTTTGCCTTCCTTGATTTTTTAGAATATGCTCAAGGTTCTCATCCAGGATAGGAAAATGTACTCACCAGAATAAAGAAGAAATAACAATGTGATGTACATCACTCTTGAGAAGACCAGCATTTTATGAAATGTACACAAGAAACCTTTGGAGTGTTGGTAAACACAGTACCTTGGACAGCAAATAAAAACAACCAGGGATCAGTCTGACAGAGATTCTTGAATTTAAGGGAACAATTAAATCCACCCAGATTCCTAATTAAGATAAACTCCCTTTTATCTGTTTTGAAACTATTATTCAAAAGGTCATAAAATATGATGACAGGAAACCACCCAGATATTACAAATGATAGAGGATAGACAGAAAATGAATGGATATATGCATATATACATATATGTATAAAAAGTAAAATGGGCAAATACTAACAGAGGAAGTATGCTAATACATATATGTGTGAGAGGAGGGGAGGAAAATGAGACACTTAAATGTATATTTTTTAAAAAGCCTCCATTGTATTTTAGGAAGAACACTAACCTGGAGAAGCCCTCACACAAGGCTGTCTTGCTGAGAGCCCACTTGACTCAACTAATACAGAGAGATATTTGGTTTAAGGACAACAGTTTTGGGACTGTGGTTATTTTGCTCATTTCAACGTTCACTTTTATTTCCTCAATCACAGCCTATCAGCAAAGCCTCAAATTTATCCATGCATGATGAGCACTAAGGACTAAGAGGATTGCACATGGGAGATAAGACACGGAAGCATCAGGAATTCACCCTGGAGGTTGTAAAGTAGATCATGAGTGAATCCTATCAAATGCTTCTCAGTAGGTCTTTTCTTAGCAGGAGACTTGGGGAATATCTGACCTCATGAACTCATAAGTTCTAAAAGAGTGACAGCAGCCATTTATTCTAGAAAAGCGCAGATGCGGAAAAATTCTCCAAATGAATGAGTTGTAAGAGGAAATGAGAAACAAGGAGGACAAGTAAGTTGGAAAGTGATATGAAAATAGGTTATTATTTTGTTTTTGGATTTTGGAGACAGGGTTTCTCTGTGTAGCTTTGGTAGACCAGGCTGGTCTCGAACTTACAGAGATGTGCATGCCTCTGACCCCCCAAGTGCTGTGACTAAAGGCATGTGCCACCACTATGCAGCAGGTTATTAAACTTTTTTAAGTAGATATATGCTAGCAACATGGGAACATTCTAACAACAGTGAAGACATTGCTGCCGTCACAGCAGTGAATTGATAGTTAGGAGAAAAGACCTGAACATTGCATGGGCAAATGCTCCCAGCTGAGTCTCATCATCAGCCTGGTTTAAGGAAGCTCCCCCAAACAGAGTTCAAAAGTGTAGAGCAGAGAGAGTGAAGGGGGGAAGTGACCCTGTTGCAGTTTATTAACTATGTCTATCCAACTTTTCTGCAACTATAAACACTAGGAATGGATTCTCGTTGAGCCTGTCCTGAGCCACAATTTCTACTGCTATGCTTTCGAAACATTGCTCTCCTGTTCCCTGAGTATATAGGGACGTTTGTCAAAAAATAAACACATACTGATAGTCTATATTTCATTAAATCTAAAGCATTACAAACAGACCATTGGCGATCTCAGAGTCTGTGCCGCTGGTGTTATGTTCAGGAAGTGGTTCCTGTACCAACTCGTTGAAGAGTATCTCCCACCTTCTCTTCTAAGAGTTTCAGTGTGGCTGGATTTATGTTGAGATCTTTGATCCACTTGGACTTAAGTTTTGTACAAAGCAATAAACATGGATCTATCTACAGTCTTCTGCATACCAGTACCCAGTTATGCCAGCACCGTTTGTTGAAGATGCTTTCTTTTTTCCATTGTATGGTTTTAGCTTTTTTGTCAAAAATCAAGTGTTCATAGGTGTGTGGGTTAAAATCAGGGTTTTCAATTTGGTTCCATTGGTCCACCTGTCTATTTTTGTGCCAATACCAAGCTGTTTTCATGACTATAGCTCTATAATAGAGCTTGAAGTCAGGTATGGTGATGCCTTCTGAAGTTCCTTTGTTGTATAGGGTTGTTTTTGGCTCTCCTGGACCTTTTGTTTTTCCATATAAAGTTGATTATTGTTCTTTCAAGGTCTGTGAAGAATTGTGCCGGAATTTTGATAGGGATTGCATTGAATCTGTAGACTGCTTTTGGCAAGATTGCCATTTTTATTATGCTGATCCTACCAATCCAAGAGGGTGGGAGATCTTTCCATTTTCTGGTATCCTCTTTGATTTCTTTCTTTAAAGACTCAAAGTTCTTGATATACAGGTCTTTCACTTCCTTGGTTAACATTATCCCCAGATATTTTGATTCTGTTAATGGCTATTATAAAGGGTGATGTTTCTCTGATTTCTTTCTCAGCCACTTCATCATCTGTATATAATACGGCCACTGATTTTTTGACTTAACCTTGTATCCTGCCACTTTGCTGAAGGTATTTATCAGCTCTAGGAGTTCCCTTGCGGAGTTTTTCAGGTCACTTATGTAAACTATCATATCATCTGCAAATAGTGAATGTTTGACTTCTTCTTTTCCTATTTGTATCCCCTTGATCTCCTTTTGTTGTCTTATTGCTGTAGCTAGAACTTCAAGTAAAATATTGAAGAGAAATGGAGAGAGTGGCAAGCCTTGTCTTGTTCCTGATTTTAGAAGAATTGTGTTGAGTTTCTCTCCATTTAGTTTGATGCTGGCTGTTTGTTTGCTGTATACAGCTTTTATTATGTTTAAGTATGTTCCTGTTATCGCGGATCTCTCCAAGACCTTTATCATGAAGGGGTGTTGGATTTTGTCAAAGACTTTTTCTGCATCTAGTTAGATGATCATGTGATTTTTGTTTTTCCAGCTTGTTTTTATGGTGGATTACATTGATGGATTTTCGTACATTGAACCATCCCTGCATCCCTGGGATGAAACCTACTTGATTGTGGTGAATGATTGTTTTGATGTGTTCTTGGGTCCGGTATTTTATTGAGTATTTTTGCATCAATGTTCATGAGGGATATTAGCCTGAAGTTCTCTTTCTTGGTTGTGTCTTTGTGTGGCATGGGGATCAAGGTTATTGAAGCCTTGTAGAAAGAGTTTGGCAAAGACCCTTCTGCTTCTATTGCATGGAATACTTTCAGAAGAATTAGGATAAGCTGCTCTTTGAATTTCTGGTAGAATTCTGCACTGAGGCCATCTGGACCTGGGTTTTTTGTTTTGTTTTGTTTTGTTTTTTGGTTGGGAGACTTTTGATGACTGCTCCTATTTCCATAGGGGTTATAGGTCTATATAAATCGCTTATCTTTTTTTTAATGAAATTCATTTAAATTAGAAACAATCTTATTTTGCACATCAATCCCAGTTCCCTTTCTCTCCCATCCTCCCATGCTCCCCAGAGACCCCCACATCCCATTCCCTACCCACTCCCCAGAGAAGGTGAGGCCTTCCATGAGGGGTCATCATTCTTTTTTTTTTTTTAGATATTTTTTATTTTTAAACTTAAATTTAAATTAGAAACAAGGTTGCTTCACATGTCAATTATAGGTCCCTCCCCATTTCCCTCTCCTCCTCCCGTGTCCTCCCACCAACCCCCCCAATATCCCCTCATTTCCCAAGGGAAGGTGAGGCCCTCCATGGGGGTGTCCATAGTCTGTCATTTCATCCAGGACAGGGCATGGACCCTCCCCCAAGAGTTCTGGGTGAGAGTGCATCTCTCATTGTTGGATGGGCGTCCAAAGTCCATTTGTATACTCGGGATAAATACTGATCTACTACCCAAGGCTCAATAGATTACCTAGGCCTCCTCACCAACACCCCCATTCAGGGGGTCTTGATCAGTCCCATGCTGGATTCCCAGGCATCAGTCTGGGATTCAAGAGCTAACCCTTGTCAAGTCAGCTGCTTCTGGGGGTTAAGCCTGCCCAGTCTTAATGCCTTTGGTCATCATTCCTCCCTCCCTGTCACTGGATTTCTTGAGTTCAGCTCCATGCTTAGCCATGGGAGTCTGCCTCTTCTTCCATCAGCCACTGAATGAAGGTTCTGTTTCCCAGACTCTCTAGTCATGGGATTGTAGGCTGGCACTCTCCAGATCTATGTCTAAAATCCATATATGAGAGAGTGCATGCCATGTTTCTCTTTTTAAAAAAATATTCCATCCATCTGGAGTTTCATGAGAGATGGAAGATAAGGATCCATTTTCATTCTTTGACATGTATCCTTATCTGGTTTGAGTAGTACCACTTGTTGAAGGTGCAGTGTAGTCTCCAACTATAAAACTCTTATCTGGTCCCTTTGTACATCACATGGTAAGCACCAGTCTTTTCTGTCAGTACTGTAAAACTGTGATTAAGGAAAATAAAATAATTTTATTTCATCCACCTTGTAATACTTTTATACAATTTTTTTTACCAAATCCTGTGGGGATCACAGACCCTGGCCGGAAATCCACCCCTCCATCAGCCTGAGAGCAGGCAGCTGCCAGACAATGTTTACTGAAAACATGTTTACTGAAAGCAATTCAGTGCCATAAGCTCCTGATAAGGGCTTGATAAGGGCAAGGTCACTGAAACACCCTGACTTTGATTCCCCCAAAGGCTAACTACTTCTTCCTGCTTCCTGCTGTTTTTCCCCGATTCTGGTGTCAGAGATTTAACCACCAGCCAGGAGGAAGGAGAGGTCTGTGAGAGGTATGTGAGAGGGCTGTTGGAGATTTGTGCGTGTATGGATGGCAGAAGTCTTTCTGAAGGGAAGCGTTTTTCTTGGGAAGTTCTCCTAAGCCAATTTGGGGAGCATAAAGTTTTCTTAACACAACCGACTGGTCTCTGTGTCATCTATCCCGACTACCTCACCACATTCTCGGATACAGGCTGCGCAGCAGGTGCGGCAATTAAATCCATTTAGAAAAATCTCTATTGAAATGCTTTAATTCTCCCAACGTGGGTAAAACTCCCATTCACACAAAGAACTTCTGCCTTCTCTGAACTTGGATGCCTTAAATGCTGGCCTCTGTCCTACTTTCCTTCATTTCCTTTACACCCATTCTTTGGAAACTAGTCACTTGCAGAAAACTGGGAGGACCAACCACAGACAATGGGGAAGAGACACAGTCACTATCTCAGCTAGGA